AGAAAAAAAAAAAAAAAAAAAATTTGCAGTGATCCCTAAAAACTTATAATAATAGAGAAAAAATTACGTTATCGTCTCGTACGTTATACTGCTATGTTACATTTTTTAAATTTTCTTTCTCACGAAGTTTCGAAGAAAAGTGAAAATCCGATGACGGACGTTGCCCGTGTTTTTTTTTTCTCTCTTGACACTCTTCTCAGGCACCCCCTTTGTCGCGGTTAGGAAATTTTTGGGGAGGAGTACAAAAGAGTGACATCACGATAAGCCTAAATCAATCGATCGCCATATGGCAATGTACGTACAGCTATTCGTATATTAAGCGTATACATATATATACAGTAATGCGCAATTGAAGTGGAACACTTTAATTTTTGTGTATCTCTACGAAACTATGACCGATTTAAAAAAACTAAAGATATGTTTTTTAGGAAATTTTCTTCCCGTTCGAATGGTAAAGGTTTTATCCCGATCGGATACAAAATGGCCGAATGGCAGGGGTTGGAGTGAAAAGTACCTATGGAAAATGTTCGTTCCTAAAGTCGCGACCGGACCCTGCGACATTCACGAGGACTCCGACGAGTTCCGCTTTTCATTGAACGACAGAAGTGAAGTAGCTCAGCAGCAGTTTAATTCTCCGTATCGGTTCCGATATCACGCATGGTTAGAGTGAAGTCGATACCGAGCAAGGTCTTTTCGACAATAAAGAACCGGACGTCTTTTAAAATGCCTCCCGGCTTCCTTATTGGCTCGCGATATCCCATTCGAATTCCAGATGATGGTACGATAGGTGCACAGAGAAAAAAGAAGAAAAAAAAAAAATTACCCAGAAGCACACAAAGCAGATTGGGAATTTTAAAGCGAAGCCGAATACTCGTACCTCGCGTAACTATTCTTACGTATACTACATATGCCTACTCAAGTATAAGATATGCGAAGGTAGTTTTTGCGTTTTCATGAAAAAAAAAAAAAAATCATTACCAGTCGTAAATTACCTGAAAGTGACAAGTTGACAAAAAAAAAAAAAAAAAAAAAAAAAA